CAGTCCTCCAGAACTGCTGTGGCCAGAGCGGAGCTGCAAGGCTTGGGGGCTGGAGAAGGGGTTGTCTGTCTCCCCGCTCCCCAGCCTGGCCCTCCGGGCAGCAGGAGCTGACGTTGTGAATGCTGCCCGAGCCCGGGGCCCGCTGGCAGGGTGCGCCTCCAGGGCAGGTACAAAGCCACTGTGTATATGTATTCTCCAGTTTAAATAGATTGTACATATGCACATGTAAATGAACTGTAAAACGGCAGTCTCCACTTTTCTGACAATTGCATAGCAGTATATATTTGTTACACATGCTCGTATACTCTTCCTTAACCATTTGGACGTTGTGTACAGATAAGTCGATTAAATATTTTATTGATACAACGCCTCCTGACCGGTCTTTGGAGAACGACTTCTGACGTGTGATTCCGTGTTAGACCTGCTCATCTTCCTCAACACTGAGAACAGTCGTCAGCCATGTAGGTGTTAGGAATGACTGCATTAAAATGGGGTGCCTGGGGGCCCTGGGCCCATTCACGGGTCTTCCCGCTGATCATCCCCCCGCCCCCTTGAAACACACCTCAGGCTCCGATGTGGAGATGACCCCCAGGAGGGGGGCCTCAGGCACGGGGCTTGTGACTCACGGGCACAGACAGGACCCTGTGTGCAGGCCCACACTGCATGCCCTCGCCACGGCGTGGGAGGGCGGATGAGTCAGCTCAGGTTCAGGGGAGCAGGGGCCAAAATGCAGTGGAAAACATTTTCTCTCTGGAAAATGAGCACTGTCCTTCGCAGTGAGCGAGTGTGGCCTCTGCCAGCAGCCGGGGTGGGGGGCATTTCTGTGTCCATGCCTCTCCTGCGCGGTGGGGACCTCTCTCCGTGCGGAAGCGTGAGCCCGGGCGCAGGCAGCCAGATCAGGACTCGGAATCCCAGACACAGGGCCAGCGGTGGCAACGAGGGCAGAGTTTGGGGGAAGCCAGCAAAACCCCAGCCCAGGCTGCACAGGGCCCTTCTGCTCAGGACTCTGGGGGACGGGGGCCGAGGCCTGCGCTCAGTGACGGGAACTTGGACCCCCCCAGACCTCCCCCACACGGCGCAGAGGACCCACCGCACGGCTTTCTCCCGCCCTGCGGCTCTCACAGCGACCTTCTCCTGCAGAGGAAGGAGAGAGCTGTTTCACCCGCTTCTTCTGTGTTTCCGGGGGAGCAGCAGCGACGGAGCAGCCGTGCTGGGGTGATGACAGGGACTTGCCCTCACGCTGACTTGTCACCAGGAGTGGCTCCGGTGGGGTAGGGGTCGGGCCAGTGTCACCCAGCACCCGGCGGAGGGTGGCGGCACCACCGTGTCCTCTGTGCGCCAACGTTCCCCGGGGGTGTTAATGCCGGTCCCTGCGGCCACATGGCTTTCTCTGGAGAGAAGCTCAGCAGAGTCTACTCCCCGAACTTCGTCACTACTGATTAAAGGAGCTTCTTTCTTTGGAATAAAATTTAAGTTCACCTTTTTTTAAAAATATTTTATTTGTTTATTTTTAGAGAGGGAAGGGAGGGAGATAGAGAGAGAGAGAGAGAAACATCAATGTGCGGTTGCTGGGGGTTATGGCCTGCAACCCAGGCAGGTACCCTGGCTGGGAATCGAACCTGCGACACTTTGGTTCGCAGCCCGCACTCAATCCACTGAGCTAGGGCTTTAAGCCAGGGCTTTAAGTTCACCTTTAACCAACTCATTCGGTAGGGACAATACATGTGTAAGCTTTAGGAGCCTACAATAGAAAAGTGGAGTCCTGTCCTGCTTTGAGTATCCTCGTCCTTGGTCAGGTCTTCCTTTTCTTGTCTTTCAGTCTGTCCTTGACCTACCCTGGCGTGCCGTGGTCAGAGGGTCACACATTCGGCCCAGAAGGGGTAGTGACAGGGAGAAGGGAAAGTCGGGGGTGGCATGTAAGAGCTCCGCCCACTTCCCAAACGTGCACTACCTGTGTCTACAAGACCTTGCAATGCCTGACGCTACACGGGAGGCGAAGACCGGCTTCTCCGGTCTTCCCCTGGTGCGCCCTGGTGCCTGACGCCTGTGCCCTTCCGAGTGGGCGGTGGAGGCAAAGATGAGCACCTTGTGGGCGGGGCTGCCTGACCTGGGCGTGGGTGCATTGTGTTCCTGGGCCCCAGGAGGCTACAGACTCTTCTCGGGAGGAACAGGGACTGGGGACAAACCTTCCACTGCAACGTGCCGCCAGCGTGCAGCCACCAACCCTGGGGCCCTGGGTGTCCGCTGAGCCCTAATCACATGCAGGTGCGCGGCCCTGCAGCAGCGGCCAGTAGGAGGAAGCCCAGATGTCCGCGAGGAGCCTAAGCGGGGTGGATTTGCCAAGGCGGAATCCCAGCCCCTCATCGAGGGAGGGGGGCCCTGCAGGTGCACCCGCACCTCTGGCTGTGATGGACGCCCAGTCACAGGGTCACATTCCCCTCCCAGGGAAGAGGAATTTTCCCATAGGCTTACCCAGCAAGGAAGTTGGTCCCAGCGTCCGGAGGTCAGCGCGGGCCCCTCGGCCAGAATGTCTGAGGAATGCAATAGAAAATGAAGGTGGGGCTCTGGCCCAGCGCAGTCTCCTGTTACTGCTGCAATTCCCACTTGGGGTGCTGCGTGGGGTTTGCGTGCAACAAATAATGTCCACATATTTGCTCGTTGCTAATACCCAAACTGCAGAGGTTTTTCAATCATAGGGGAATGGAACAGTTGCAGCCAGAGGGGACGAGAAGAACGGGCCGCGATGCACGGGGGCCTCGCTCTCCTGCCACCCGCTGGTGCCAGAGCGCGGACTGTCCACGTCCTGGAATCTGACCCGGCTGTGCACAGCTCTGCTGGGAAAACCCTGAAGAGGTGACAGCAGGCCTGCCGCACACGTGCAGCTACATATTCAGCCCTGAGGGACCGGGAGTCCCTGGGACGTGATTCCCTGCCAGTCTGACCGACGGAGAGAATCGTGGTTTTGAGAGCTTGCCTCTTACGGGTGGTAGAAACGTTTATTAACTTAGGTAACAAAAGGTATTGACTAGTCCATGTGGTGGGCCTATCCTACAAGCCCCGAGAATCCAGAGATGACTGAGACAAAAGTCCATCTCCTGGGGGGCCCCTTTTAAGGGCAGGAGGGGTTTTGACGGTGGGGAGGCGCAGGCTGGTAACAATGCCGTTCCTGCAATAATGGTAAATGCTCTGATAGAGACATGGTCGGGCCAGGCGGCCATCAGGGCTCAGAGGGAGGGGAGAGGGAGAGCTCTGGGAGGCAGGAGCAGTGTGTATTTTGGGCCAAGTCTCCAAGGGGGTGGGATAGAGGCACAGGCACCCCGGAAGCGGGAGCAGTGGAGTGCAGAGGTTTCAGAGCTCCACGCACCTTCCGAGGAGCTGACAGGAGCCGGTGCATCCCGGGCTCTGCGGCTAAGGTGGAGCTGCGCCCTCAGCGTGTCCGCTGGCGTGCAGGCCCCCTTCCTCCCAATGCACTTGCCCGAGCCACTCGCCCCACCCTGCAAACTGGTCTGTCACATCTTTCATTCTTTTACAACTACGCACTTGTTTCCCACCATCTGCTCTTCTCTTCCCTGCCAACCTGGCCCTGACGTGGCCCTCCCCCGACCCCCAACCCTCCCTGGCTGCCAGGCCGCCCGCTGTGGCCTCCAGGAGGCAGCATGGGGCCCGGGACAGGAGGGCATGAAGGCGGGCTCCGGAGTAGAGGCCTGCGTTTGAATCTCAGCAGTCGCGTGGTAGCTGGGAGGTCCTGAGAGCCCCTCACCTCTGCACCTCCGTGGCCATCTGTGAAGTGAGTATAACCACAACCTCGCAGGACTGTGGGGCCTACAGGAGACGCCATGACAGTGTAGGGTGGGTGGCGGGCTCTCTCTCTGGCCTCGAGCTTCCTTCCCCAGACCCAGCCGAGTTCTCCCGGTCCTTCTGGCCCCAGCAGCAGCCTCCGCCCCCCTCGTCTCTGCAGGCGTTGGCTGTACAGAGCCACAGAGCAGCCTGGAGCCTTCTCGGATCTCTCCAGCTTCTCTGCAGGCCTCCAGTCTGGTGGGAGACAACAGACCCTGTCCCGCACCTGCCCCCGATGCCCAGATCCACGGGATCACTCACCTATGTCTCTTTGGGGCACAGGCGGGAATCTCGGTCCCTGGGAAATGGAAAGCTTTTCTGTCCTCGGCACTCCCGCAGGACAGCTTTGGCCTAAGGCCTCAGAGGTGTATTTGTTCAGGGAGCATGCGTAGTGTCACCCATAGTTCCAGCCACTTAAGCTCCTGAAACCCCACCCGCCAAGGTGGGGTTTCCTCCCCACCTTATCCTCCCATAAAAGAGAAGGCCGGGAACAAAGGTGGTGTCTGGTGTGATGTAAGAAACGCTCGGCTCCCCGCACCTTTTCCACGTGGACTGCAAGCCCCGAGAGGTGACGCTGGAGCGCCGTGGGCTGTGAGTGCCAGCCCTGCACGGCCCAGGGCCAGACGGCAGAGCGGGGCAGCAGCTGTCCCCGTCCGGCTCCCACCTGCACTCCCCACCGGGAACCGGAAGTGCTAGGGCCGCAAGAACCAAGCTGCAGGCAGGGTGGACCGACGCAGAAGCCGAGTGTCCTAGAGTCCTCCGCTGCACCAGAGAGAAGATGGGCGGAAAGAAAAATAAATTTGCTCTCACTTTCCACCCGGTTCCATGTTATAGAGCATTTACCACAAGCCGGGCAGGACGCTCCATGTCACATGCGTGACCTCATTTGCCCCCATTTAAAGCCAACCAACCAACCACCCCCCTCCCCAGACCCAAAATCCAAAAACTGAAGCAAGTGCTTTCATAGATGAAGACGGGGGGTGGGGGTGGGGGTCGTGGGGGCTGTGGGAGAGTTCGGGGAGGTTAAGTCGATGTAACATCACACACCTATTAAATGACAGCCCTGGGATTTGAACCCCGGTCTTCATTTACTGCTTAGAAGAAGAAACTCGCTTCTTGGAAAAGAAGCAATGAGAGCCAGACAAAAAAAAAAAGAGAGCTCATTTTGAAAATAATTATTTTTATATAAATTTCAAAATCATCTCAAATTTACAAAACAGTTGCAAGTAAAATACAAAGGACATTTGCCCCCCTCTGGACCACTTGTGAGTAAACTGACAGGCTGCCCCCGCGCCCCGCCCAGTTCCGCGAGTCTTCAGTGCGCATGCGGACGGCCTCCTCCTCCTCCTCCTGCAGGTCAGGAGGGCTGCGGCCGGAAAACCAACATCCGCTCCGCCCAGCTCATCTTCAGACCCTCTCAAGTGTGCACGTGGTCCCAACAGGGTGTTTTTGTGTTAATAACCTTGAGCCCAGAATCAGGGGTTGCATTATATTGGCCCGTCTCCTTCAATCTGGAATTGAATTTAAGTTTAATACAGCGTAGGGTGAAGAACAATCAAGCCTTTGCAGGTCACTGGCTGCCTCGGACATCAGCCACGAGAGCCACGGGGCTGGCTGCCCGGGAGACCTGTCCCGGGGTCCGGAGCAGCCCGAGAGCCACCGAGGGCATGGGTCACACTCCAGTGTAGGCTCTTCCTTCTCACCCGCCAACCCCACAGGAAGTTAAATCTCTGGCGAGGGCCATCCAGGCGGCTGGCTGGGACACAGAGGCAGAAATGCTTCTGGAAAAATAGATTTCACCTACTGCTTATCAGTCTCATCCTTTTATTTTCAGTATTATAATAGTTAATAATAATCATCAGTATTATTACAGCCAATCTTTATTAAGATATACTCTTGATCAGGCATTGCGCTAAAGGCTTTAATTTTATCACCTTCTTTGATTCTTCCAACAGTATGAGGAACGCACTAATATCCGTCCTGTCCTGCGCATGAGGACAGTGGGGCATGGAGCAACCCGACGAAGCTGCCTGAGCCTTGCACAGGCTGTGAGACCTCTAGAGTTCACACACCTTATCACCTCAGACGCATGCACGGCACGGAGGCATTTATACAGCCAATTGTTCAATTCCTAATGAAATACGATGAGCCTCAACCCCCTGAAATCTGACTCTCCCTTCTCTGAAGGAAACACGGAGAGCAGTGGCTTCTCCACTTCACAGAGGGACCCCGGCCCGAGTCCCACTGAGGAGCGCGGTTCAGACCGCGCCCAGCCCCCAGCAAAGGAGGGTCGCGCCAGGCGGGCTCACATGCGCTGGAAAACCATTTATTTCAAAAATTTATTTGGTGCCTAGATGATAAACAGGAAATGAGAGCCAGTGGTATTTTATTTTATCATTTTACTTTTGATCATTTTTAAGTTCTGCAAAACAACATGAGATACAGTTTCATACATGTGGACTTTTGGAACATGGAGTAAGGTCATGGAACGACACCAGAAGAGAGCCGGGGATGCTGTTCTTTATTTCGGTAGGTGTGGTCCACCCGGCCCTTGCTCCAGTGCTCAAGTCGGCACTGCTGAGCACCTCCTGTATGCAAGGTTCTTCCCAGCCAGGAGTCCCAGCTGCTGACAGCGGATCTCTCCAAGGCCTTCCCATGCAGGTGCTGACGGGGGGTCCGTGTGCAGCCCTGTGCCAGTGGCCTAGGTGTGTCCCAGCTCCTCCTCTCTAGAGCCGAGAACACTCCTTGCCTGCAGCTTGGATCTGCCCCTCCAAAACTCCTTTGCTCTAATGTGGAAGCCCTGCCTGCTAGTAACCAGTTCGGCACTCACCACGGGGCTGGCAGCGTATTGGGGCTGCATCTTTCATCAGGGGCTTTGGGTTCTGAGAGGAAGGCCAACATCCATCCCGTTGTCCTCAAGCCTGAAGGATCCCTCCAGGAGAAAACGGAATGTTTCTGCTCCACGTGGTCAGTTGCCACCACACTCGGTGCGATGACCGGCTACCGAGGCCCCAGGCCCGAGTCGGTCTGGGGAAGGCAGCGGTATTGGCGGCCAGCTCTAGGCTGCAGGGCTAGCTGCTTCTCTGCTGGATCTCAAGGTGCCCACAGAAGGTGAGTTTACATAATTGAATGGCTCATTTTGGTTCATTAGTAAAACAATTTCTTTACAACTAATACGCTAATGCAGAAATGGAACAATCATTTACGATAATGGAAATTCTCAACTCAGCAATTTAAAGATGCCCTTTTGAAAATTACTTAGTAGAAGAAGAAAAGAATCATAATTATAGCTAAGACTCTATCCTCAGTGGCTAGCACAGTACTTGGCTCACTGCTGGTCCTCACGGGAGCTCCCCGGAAGGAAAGCTCAGAAGGGGCAGCTGCATTGGGTAGGCACAGGCTGGTCCAGGGCAAGTCAGGGCCTCCTCACTCCGGCTCTGGAGAAACAGGGCCCGCTGGCTGTCTTGCGGTGGGAGATGTAGCAGGACCCCTCAACGACTCTTGTCTGCTTAGGTGAGCAGAGGAATGCCTGGTGAACCCGAGTCTCTGTCTAGTGCAGGTAGGCCAGGAAGTCGCGCTCCTCGGGGACGCTTCTCAGAGGTGGGCATGGGCAGTGTCTCCCCTGAGGTCGGCTCTGCTGGGGCCTGTGCCACCGGTGGGCAGGCACAGGCTGCCCTGCTGGTTTGTGACACAGGTCTGCCTGCAGACTGTCCTCGGGACCCGGCCCGATTCTGATGATCTCAGCCAAGACCTCTGCAAAGGAGTCTGGGCTGATCTTTGGCTCCTGTCCTTAAGGGAGACTCCGGTCCACTGCCAAGGTCTGGAGTGTGAGTATAACCTTCTCCTGAGCTTCTGCACTCCACGTGTCTGACCATACACTGAACGCTCGCTGGTCTCCCACATTTCCTAGCTGACATTCCGTCATCCCCTGTAGGACAGCCTTTTCTGTAACGTAAGTCAAAACCAACTAAATTTAGACGTCCTTTTGTCTGCAAGGACCCTGCCTGCCCAAGTAGACTGCATGGTGGCCCTGGGCCACTCTTGCAGACATCAGAGACCCGTTTGGATCATTATGTTCCTGAGTCTCGGAAAGTGTGCGGTTAAACATAAGGAATGTTTCATTAGCTGTGTTTACTTCAGCCTGTACTGTGGGAAGCTGGGAGCTGGTAGTGTTTAGGCCAAGAGGTTCTCACTTTGTTTCACTTCCACCATCAAACGTTGAAATTCAGCATTTACCTACTAAGTCTACTGCTTCCTGCTGAGAGTCAGTGCCCCCACCGCCTCTCTGCGCCAGCGGTCAGTCCCCGTTTCCTTACTCCGCTGCGTCTATTTTGGCCAGATCGTCCCTCAGCCAGTCGGCCACCATGTCAGCCATCTCCTGGTGGGAGTAGAGCACAAAAGCGTGAGGTATTTTCTTCTCACAGAGTCGAATATCTCCTTCTGGAAAATCTTTCTTTATGTCTTCATAGAACTCTGTTGGACACCAACGATCGATAGTCCCATAGTAAAATGTAAGCTAAAAGGCAAGACAGAAACATTTTATTAGAAAACACTTCCACTTCCGACACAGAGGTGACGGCAGCGACGTGCTCTGGAAAGGGCCCTGCGCCTGGACCCCCACGCGCTGGCCCCGGGGAGCCCTCCAGAGGGCGGCTCTTCCAGGGCGCCAGCCTCCGCGGTTCGTGGGAGCGCACGGAGAGGCCTGCGACGGGAAGAAACCCGGGGAGGGACAGCCGTGTGACAGACCCTGGAAGGGCTCGCCAGCAAAGCTGTGTGTGTTGGGGCCGGGAAGGGCTCTGGGGAGATGACAAACGAGAACAAAGAGAGTTATTGAGACGGAATCGCTGCCGAGTGACTAGTGACCATTCATTGCACACTCAACAGTTTTCAGATAGCCAGTGGTAGGCGTATGGGACGTGGTTGTTGAATGCACGCAAAGACCAATCAGGTAGACTCAGGCTTCTCGATGAAGTGTGATCAGAGCCCCGAGAGCCTCTGACATTTCTGTGAAGAGGCTCACGCAGCAGGAGCGTACGCTGTTCCGTGGGGAGGTGCTATACTCAGTCACACTTCAGGTGACGGCAAGCAGGCTGGATGGAGACAGGACCTTCTGCGAGGCATCACTGAGACTGATCTATACCTGCCCGTGACACACACACATGTGCATACACACAGATGCACACATGGGTATGCACGCATGTGCATGTGGACGTGTGTGGGCCCCCCACACATATATGCATGTATAAGTATCTGTGTATATTTACACACACACATATTTATTGTGTCTATATGTGTCTAGCTCTAGGCTGTTCTCCACCAAAAACTAGGTTCTAGTTCTGTGTTTCTGAAACAAAAAGGCAACGAAAGTGAAATCTTATTCAGAGTGGTACACAGGGGTCGTTTCCCCCAAAAGGCAAGAACCGAGTTTTAAGGACCCGGTGGCACCTGCCAGCACCGAAGAAGAGAGCTACGCCCGGCCGCGGCCCTCGAGGGGCCGGCTCCACTCACTCCTAGTCTCCGCAAGACACCGAACGCGCTCCCGCACTCAAACCCTCTTCCCGAGCCTGTTCAGCAAACTCTTACCGAGCACCTACCCTGTGTCGGAACCTGGAGCGGACAGTAAGACACAGTTTCTGGTGGGGGGGCCCGGAGGCCCCACGTGCACAGGACAGCCACAGAGCCCGGACGAGGGCCAGCTGGGAGGGACCAGCGGGCAGGGAGGGGTTCCCCAGAGAGTTGGCACCCGAGCTGCGTCTTCAGGTTGGGGGAGTGCAGTGTGGGGAGCAGGCCGAGTAGAGTAAAATGTCTGAAGGACCATGGCACGCTTGGGCACTGGACATAATTCCACAAGGCTGGGACGCAGCATGGTGGGAGGCGAGGCCAGCAAGGCCGAGAGACATGGGGTCATGGACTTCCGTGTCACGCTGGGGAGGGGGCCACTGCTCTGAGGGCCACAGGGGCGAACACGGGACTTCACGCAGTGAGGCGGCGTGCTCCGGTCTGAGCGGGGAAACTACCTGGGCCACCAGGGCGAAGTGGCTGGAGGGGTCAAGTGGTGGGGGAGGAGGGTGTGGGGGAGGGTGTGGCTGCCCACTGGATGCCTTGGCTGTGTGGATCATTAAAGCCACTGTCTGAATGTGAACAGGCGAAACTGCCCTTAGAAAAGCACTGACCTTCATTACAGTGACAGTGCGACTTAACCAATATTTGAAGAGACGGCTAGTTAAAAAACACTTTAAAGGGGCGGCCAGCAGCTGCCTGGTTCTTTCCCCTGGTACCAGTCGCCTCAGAGCTCTGACAGGCCAACCTTGCAGCCCGTGGGTGCGTGTTCTGGCCAGCTGTAGAAAAACACGTTTCCCGGATCCCTCAGCAACCACCGCACTACAGCTTTCCCCTGGAACACCGCGGGGCGCGGGCTGTCTGCAGGCGCTGTCTATCCATCCGTGGGGCCAACCACTTCAGTCCTTTCTAAGCCACTGCCCACTCTCACCACCCAGAACCCTTTAGATTGCATCCAGGAGAGCGAGCGGAACGGCCGCTATGCACAGCTGCCCAGCACCTTCCCAGAGCAGGAGAGGGTGTTGAGGAACTGGGAAGCGGAGCCTGGGTGTGTGGGCCCCGGGCCTGCTCCTCTGCTCCAGGGCCCGCTCTGGCCTGAAGACACCTGGACGCCGAGGGAGGCACTCGGGAGCCCGCGCAGCAGGACAAGCTGGAAACCCTACCCCACGAGGGTCAGCTGGAGGGAGGGCCAGGCGGGAAGACCTCCCGCACCAAGTCCCTCGGACAAGGAGCACAACGCCGCCGTCCACACCTGCTGGCGCTTCCTGCCTGACACTTCAGACTGCTTCCCGGGAGAGCTTCGTACTCGCTTTTAAGTGATGCGATTCTACTTGACACGCCCCCAGTGAGAAGCCAGGCTGATGAGCCTCAGCTCTGGGGCGAGGCCACCCCTCCCCCACGGTGCGAAGGTGCCAGCCAGTGCCATAACACGGGTCATAACACAGAGTACAGGGTGGGATCCCTTCCGGCTTCAGGAGACCGGTCGTGCCCAGGCGGTTACGGGGCACACGCTGCCCACGGCAGCCACGAGGGGCCTCAACACGGGGTGACCTCAGTGCGCACGGCGGCGCCACGCCGAGGAGGCCGGGTTCCCAGATGTTCGTTGGATTTCACTTCTCGATCCTTCTTGGCCAGTCGCCGTTTAGAGCTGGCTGCAGTTGGTTAAATGACTAAGTCCTGGTAGGGTAACGTCCTTTTGTTTTTTGTTTTCCAAATTCTTCTTCAGGCTCTATTCACTGAAGGGCTATGAAAATCCTGGCTGACGAGTAAAGCACGTGGTTGTTTCTCATGCCTTTACATACGCAGGCCCAAGATCCTCCTGCTCCCCAGGGGCTACTGGTCACAGGGAACAGGTCTGGGCAGAGGACGCCGCACCCGTGATCTTGAACAGGAGGCCAGAAAGAACGGGGGCACGGGGGCAGTGGGGAGGGCGGGTGCGGGGGAGGGAAGGAGGGACTGGGCCCGAAGCGCGGCGGTGAAGAGGGTGCGCTGCTACTGTGTCGCCACGGAGACCAGCTCACAGCAAATGCTACGAGCCAGCCGAGGACCCCGGGGGCTGTGTGCCCCCCCCCCCTCGGCGCTGCGCTCAACTCGGTGCTCGCTGAGTCCAAACAATACCGTTTGGGTGTTTCACATAAAAGGAAACTGAGGCTCAGAGAGACCAGCTTGCTCACGTTAGAACATTCAGTGAGTTGTAACGCTGGGTCAAACTCCAGGGACAACACTGCTAACCAAGGCCCTTCGCTACCTTTTACAGTGAACAGTGAGCGGACCAGTGTCACTGAGACACAAGGCCCAAACACTGGGAGGTCTGAGCCGGCCACGAGAACCGAGTACCAAGTGCCGCAGCCACGACAGGCACGCGCCCAGCCACCTCGACTTCAGGCCCCCTGCTGTCTGTGCGGTTCCCTGGGGCGTGTGCGCCAGGGGGTGACGGCTGCAGTGAAAATACGGAGCCGTCACCTACTGTGGTGACCCGGAGCCTGCGCTGCGGAGCCGTCTGGGTGTTCCTGGGTGCACATCCTCCAAAACGAAGGCAGGCACTGGCGTCCGAGACTGTGGCTGCGCTTCCTGACGGGCTCGCAGGATGGCCCCTGGGTTTGGTTCTGGAAGCGGCAGAGACGAGGCCCCGCTTTCCGGGGCGCCGTGCGGCTTCCTCTGTCAACATTCCACAGGGAGTCACAGCGCCCCGGGCGCTGCACTCACGGGCTCGCCTGCTAAGGCTGCTCCCGGCCTCCCCAGCGTGGCGGCAGAGAGCCCGCCAGCACGAGAGCGCCACCCAAGAGCAGCGGTGCAGACGCTCGGGGAGGGGGCACGCATTCCTGGCCTTCCTCTGGGGTCTCCAGGAAAATGGCGTCACGCCGGCCTTCTCCACCTTTTCTTTCCTTCTCTGAAAGGACACCCACCCGACCATTTTTTTTTTTTTAAATCCCAGAAGCAAAAGGTCAGATATAAAGCAGCCAGTCACTTACCAAGAGGTTAAATCATTGCCCACGCATCCAGCACCCGCTCCCAGCTGGACCTCCCTGTCCTGCCTCCATCCCTGTCCAGCTTGCCAGGTCAGGGCACAAGCTGGCGGGGGGGGGGGGGGGGGGGGGGGTGGGAGGGCCCCCGCCCCTCGCCCTCGTAGGAGGGGGGAGCCCAGAAACTGCCGGCCGACCATGATGGCCTCCCCCTCAAGTCAGACTCTTAAGCCTCAACCCTGCAACCCTAAAGGAAACCCACTCTGCCACAGAAGCGGCTCCTTCCAGTTATTTAAAAATCTTATCCTCCAGGGAACAGAAGGATGGCGGCCACAAGGCTTTAGAGCTTCACTGCAGTCTTTCTGAATGACCATTTTTAGGAGCTTGAAGAATTAATAAGGAAAGGGAAACAGTTTAGGAAATTCATTTTCCAATTTACCTTGCTTCCTTTCTTCCTTTTATCCCAAACTGGCTCAGTTACCATTCTTAAGGAAACAAGAATCAAACTCCCCGAAGATTAAATAAAGTGGCTGAGGACAGAGGGAGACACAACCCTTTCTGACCGCGTGGCGGGGTGCTGGGAATGCGCTGGGGGGGGCTGGGCCGAGGTTCCCAGGCTGGAACAGCCACGCGTCAGCCGGCCTGCAGAGTGGGGCCCCCCCCCCTCTCTGTGTGACTCCAGCGACACGGGCCAGGACCCACTCACTGCAGATGGAAGTCCCTGGGCCGAATGATGAGTTTCGTCTCTTGCTTGCCTGGGCTGGAGTGAGAAGCTGACCCGAGGTGCCCACTCTCCTCTGGGGAGGCAGCGGAGCACGAGGCCTCGGGAACAAGTCCATCCTCCCGAGCCTGTTCCTCCCTGGTCTCCGCCCCGGGAGAGTGGGGGACGTGCCGGAGGGCCCTGCCTAACTGAGTCAGAGAAGCGGCCAAGTGCAGCGCGTCTGTGCTCCGCGCCAGGGTCCTGGGCCCAGGTGCTGGTCCAGGTGGAGGGCCG